GGTGGGTCTGCCAGTAGGGTTAAGAAGGGTCCCCTTCAAGGGGTCTCCCATATACTACCTACGGTTGATGATATAAATCCTGCATTACCCATAATAAGGAATTTACCATAATTAGGGTTTTCAAGGTAATGTAGGATGTATCATCAACAGTAGGAGATAGGCCCTGGTCGGCTTCCGGGGTGGGTCAGTGTTTGCGCGCTGTAACGGAAGAAGTGCTTTCTTGCCGCCCCGCGACTGTTCCTGAGGGCTCTTTGGCTCCTTCTTGTCATTACAGGAACCTATAATTATTATAGTATACTATTCCTTAGCGTTCCTTGTTATCGTACTATGCCACGAAACCCTATTCGAATCACTCCTTGGGCAAAGAAGGAGCCCATGCCATCAGCCCCAACCCGACCCCAAACATCCTAAGGTCATAGACACTCTGAAACCTTTTAAGGGTTAAGGGTTAGGGTTTAAGGGCTCTTTGCGGCGACAGCGGCACGAAGCTGAAGCCCTTCGACTCATGCTTCTGTAGACTCGGGCCGATGATGTCATCCTCGACTTTCGAATGGCCAGGCACGAGATGCCGTGGTGCAGCGTGCAAGGCTAAAGGTTTGTTTATCAGGAGTACATACACATACAGTGCAACCATCAGCCTCTTAAGAAAGCCCCTTACTACGGGGCCTTGATTATCAGAATAAGGCTTTTGGTCTATGCTTTCGTCCCACAAGAAACCCTACAGAATAGCATTGCTTAGTCTTCTCGCTTCTGCGATAAACGGGACAGAAACCATAGAACAAAGAAAAGTTAAACGGGACAGAAACCATAGAGCGAATAGAACAGCAGGAACCCTAGACTCCACCGCCCCAGCAGCCCATTTCATCCGCTCCGCTGGGTCGTCCACGAGGGCAAAGACGGTTTCCAACGGGGCCTCCAAGAGGACCTCTGTTAAAGGAAACTACAGGTGGGGAGTTTAGGGTATATAGGGCTTCTATAAGGCTTTTATAAGGTATATAGACCTGCTATAAGGCTCCCATAGCGGTAACTAGACTCTGTTAAAGAAGACCCATCTGGGGACTTAGGGGTTGGGCGTTTAGGGACCTAGGGTTTCAGGCCTTAGGGCCTTAGGACATGGGGTCTAGGGATTAGAGCATTTTCCCTCTACGGTTCTACTGGTTCTTCGGCACTCACTTCGGTTTGGAGCCTTCTGGCTGTGAGGCTGCCAGAGTGTTGGGGCCTAGCGCCCCATCCCGCAATGCTTTGAGGTCTATCCTACTGTAATTGTTTCGGGACTGTAGAGGGATGTATTCAAGCGCCCATGTCGGGCTTGAGGGCATGGGGCTTCGGATTGACTCTGTGGGCTGTAGAGGTCCAGGATTCCGAGGCAACTCACCAGAACTGCCGCAAGAGGTATGCGACTGAAACAGCTTATATGTCGCGCGCAACCCTTATAGACATGTTTTGTTCGGCAAGTGTGTGGGGGGAAGCATTGGCAGGATGTGAACCGGGCTCCTAATTGTAGGACACGTGTATGCAGTATGCATTCAAAAAGCTGCCGGAAGTCGGATGCCTACAAGGGGGGTTGAACTGGTTTTGCAAAATTCCAGAGCGCACTGAAAGCTGAAGAGGCGGCCGGACCAAGGAATCCTTTAAGGTGGCTTTTAGAAGTCTTCCTGAACCCCTAGCTGTGGCCGAAAAGGGTTCCTTACTCTGCTTTCCCCGTCTTATTTCCGTAGAAAGGGTAGGGTTTTTGGGCCACTGGTAGAGCCCGAGAAAAACCCAAGGCTGTCTTCTGCTTCTCTGTCTTGCATGTCGTGCCTCGCATCTGCCTCGCTCAACGATCTCGGTCTGGCCATCCGGGCGCTCGACCTCTTCCTTGTTTGGGCTTAGGGTATGGCTTGGGGTTTAGGGCTTCAGGGATTTAGGGTTGAGGGCTTCCGTTTACTTGTCCTGGTTCTTGCTATGGAGTCTTGCTATGGAGTTTAGTTTAAGTTACCATGAACCAGGTTCTGCAGTAAACATTATTATGGTCCCCTTATTATTGTAATTGCAAACAAGCTCCTTAACAAGAGCTCAGCTGTTTGGGCTGAGGGTATGGGCTCGGGGCTTAGGGCTTCCACTTCGGGCTTTGAGGTAGACGTAGCCATATTGCATGCGTGAGAAAACGTTTCATTATTTCAACGGCAAACGCCGCAAAATAGAAGCAATCGTGCGAGAAAGGATGCCAGAATTCGTCGCGACCTACATCTCGGCAGAACAACTGCGATTTGTGGGATTATGCATAATCCCAACCCGCACTGGCGTGGTCGTAATACTGTATTTACAATAGCAATCACAGTGACCACAACATGGCCGTGTCAAGATTGAGATTGGAAACCAAAGCATATTGTGACGCCAGTCACAGGAACCAGCCTCATGGCCGCATGGAAAATGATAGTAGCAATGTAGTAACCATGTAACCATACTGATCAAAATGGTGACGGTAAGAGTACAACAGAAGGAAAAGGTTCGGAATTCTGGCATAAAGCCGGTCGGCTGGTATGGTGCCTTTGCAACCTTTACAGCACCAGCTATTCTAAAGGGGACACGGTTCCAACAACTATAGATCCTGAGTCACCTTCGAAAAACCCGCGCAAGGAAGCCAGGGCCTATAACAGCCCAGAGCGAGCCCCTCAGCAAACCCTAATCAAAGCTAAAACCTAAGTATAAGGGTTTAGGGTTTAGGGATTAGGGTTTAAAACCCTATAGGTTAAAAACCCTATAAACCCCAAGCCCTATAAACCGATCAGCCCTCTAAATGTTATAAACCCTTTCAACACCAAAACAAAATCTTTCAACTCACCCAAAAAACCCTAAACCCTCTTGGCCCAAAGAGTTTCTGAGAAAAAGCTGGAAACCCTCTTAAGTCCAAAGCCAACACCCTCGATAAACAGAAAACCCTCAATCCTCTAGACCCAAGGCCTCTAAACCCTCGAGCCATTCCAAGGGACTCAAACCCCGAAACCCCCTTTTCAAGCCTGTCCTGGACATTCTTACGAACTCATAGAAGGAAGTCATAACGCCCCTAAAACCCTAATCCTAAACCCTCAAACCCTAAACTCCTAAAACCCTAAACCCTAAATCAGGAACCCCAAAGAAGTAGGTCATTTGGGGCCTTCCCTAGGCCCAACGACACCTACATTTTGCTAAGGACCTATATAGGTAGTAGGGAATCATAATCACAACTAGGAATGCCCGAAGAGGCAGGTCAAAAAGGGTTTCGGTTTTTACCCCGTTTTTCCAGCGCGGACTGAGGTGCGGCCGGCGCCTACGCAACCCTCACCCCTCTTAAGTGATCAAACCCCTACTTAACGCCTAAACCCCCAAAGACCCTAACCCCTTTTTCCTCCTTTCTGCTCAGACTTGCCGAGTTCACGCCTGGAAGCATCATGCCGTTCTCTGAACAAACAAGACACGTAACCCTTTTGCAACAGGCTTTCCACTTCGCCCGGAGTCACGTAACCCTAAACCCTGAACCCCTGAAGCCCCAAACCCCTAAACCCTGAA